TACTCTATTGCACCCCCCCCCCCGGTTTTAGATTAAAAACTAACAACTATTTCTTCCAATTAAATCATTTTCTCCATTTAATATCCTCTGCCATTCATGACTAGATTCTCATTAATTAAATTGCTGGCTCTCTCCGTCGTGAATGAGTTGTATTGAGGTCTTGTTTACAATTGAGGGAATTCGGTGACTATTGTTGTTATTGATTGTTGTGGTTGTTATCATTGTTGTTTCTGTTGTATTAATTGGAAATATCATTATCATTACTGATGTTGTTACTAGTATTAGTATCATTATTACTGTTAACATCAGTTTCATCATCGGTAGCATCATCATCATTATCATCAGTAGCATCATCATCATTATCATCATCATCATCATCATCATCAGTAGCATCATCAGTAGCATCAACATTATCTCAGCATCATTCATTATCATCATCCTCAGTAGCATCATCATCAACATCATTATCATCATCCTCACATCATCATATCATCATCAGTATCATTATCATCATCATTATCACATCATCATCATCCTCAGTTCACCATTATCATCAGTAGCATCATCATCACCATCATCATCATCAGTAGCATCATCAGTAGCATCAACATTATCTTCATCAGAACATAAATCATTATCATCATTATCCTACAACTACTGCAGTTATTTCTACGACACTAATGGCTATTATTGATATCATTAACGCCATCACCATCATCAGCTTATGGCCATCAGCATTACCATAACTGTTTCACCATCGTTGCCAACGTTATCACCACTGCAATCACTAAAATCCAGTATCAAAATCCCGGATTAATATTAAACTAAATTAAAATCCGTTTCTTGGGATTAATCGCTTGAGTTCGGTTGATAAGATGATAACGAGAAAGGTAATAATGACAATAACAATGGTGATAACAATTATAATAAGGTGACAATACTAAGACCTTTTAAAAATTGGGGTCTTCGTGTTCTTGAAAATATCCTGAAAAATGTGAAAATATTCTGAAATTTGTCTGTATTTATTTTTCTAGATTTTTTCTTCTTTATTTTTCTTCGTGTTTTACTGAGGGTAATGGTGATGATGATGTTGTAAAGGTGATGATGATTGCAAAATTATTACAGGGATGATGATGATGATGACGGAATGATGATTATAGAAATGATGGTAATAATGATGATGACGATGATGGAATGATATGGAAATTATGATAACACTGCTTTACGATATAGTGAGAGCCATAATTCTGCTTCTGACAGTGGTAATGGTGATAATATTTGAAGTAATGTAAACTATGTCAAAACACACTCCTTCAATTTAGGTTTATGTAACGATCGAATTTTGAAAACCGAAAATATAATCAAACAATCTATCTATAAACAAGAGTTCCGTAAAAGCATCATTGTCAATTTAGAAAATATCTACTAATTAACTTTCTTTGTAGGTTATAGAAAGCATCTAATATTCGTGGCGATTCTAACAGTCGTTGTAAATGCTGTTCACGGTGATAATAATCGAGAGAATTGGCAAGCGTGAAAAAAATGATCCAATATTCGATTTTGATCAAAGTTTAATGACAGTATTATCTTAATCATTATCATCATTATTACATCATAAGATAATTTGTCGATCATCATAATTGATGTGATGACTTTTGTTATCTTTACTGATTATCGCAGTTATTATCACTAATATAATTATCATTATCATTGATATCATAAGTATGTACACCATTAATATCTTTCATCGTTACTATTATAACATTATTATCATTATCATCAAAATATTCATCATTTCATTCATCACTATTATCATCACCATACCATTCCCATCACACGTATACTCTTATAATTTGTAAAACATAAACATATAGCAATACCTTTTTTCTCTCAATTATATTTCTCTCCCAAATGTCAAACCTCAGCTGGAAAAAAAAATAATAAAAAAAATAAATAAATAAATAAATAACTACACGTCACATGCTAATATCTAGCCTCCACCCGATTAAATTGTTGCATTATGATATCTTCTTCATTTTCTTTATCTTTTTTGCCTTCAAAGGAAGATCGATAACTTGCGATAAGATAAGATAAGCGAGCCGGCAGGTGCGGCACCCCTCGCGCCGTTGTAAATACAAAGAAAATCATGAACGTTATTTTTCCATCATCGAAAGATTTGTGGATCATAATATTCGCAATCTTAATCTTATTCGTAAGAATGAAGTGTCAATATTAATATGAAAAACAATGAGCGTTATTTTTCCTTCATTTTTAGTGTTCGGAAGATTTGTGGATCATAATATTCGCAATCTTAATCGTAATCGCAAGAATGAAGTGTCAATATAAATGAAAAACAAGGCTGGTTGTAATTATGTAATGAGGATGATGATTAACATTATGATGATAATAGTAGTACTAACAATAATAATAATTGTAAGAGTAAGAACAAAAACAATAATGATAATAATAATAATACAAATTATAATAATATTGATAATAATGAAATTGATGATAATAAAGGTAATTGAGATACTTATAATGATGATAATAACAGTAATAGTAGAAACGATACAAGTGATTTTTATTATTATTGTTATCATTATTATGCTAATGACAATAGTAATAATAGTAATAGTAATCATACCAATATGAACAGTAACAATAATAATAGCAATGTTGATAATGATAATACCAACAAAATAATGATAATAACGATAATAATGATGATGATGATAACAAAAAATGATAATGATAATGGCAATAACGATGATTATTATGATAATAATAATAACAAATATAATAATGATGATAATGGTAATAATGAAAATAATGTTAATAATGATGATAACAAAATAATAATAGCAATGATGATAATAGTGATAATGTTAATGACAATGATAATAATTGAAAGTGAGGATAATGATAATGATAATGATGATGATAATAATAATGGCAATGGTAACAACGACAATAATATTATTAAGAATTACAATACTAATGATAATGATAATAATAATGATGATAATGATGACAATGATGATAATGATAATATAACAATAATCATAATCATAACCATAATGAAAAGTAACACTAATAATAATGATATTAATTATAATGACGATGATAATGATGGCAAACGACAAAAACAATAACAATAAGGTTAATAATGATGAAAATAGATAATAATAATGACTGATGATAATGGTGATGATGATAATGACAATAGCGATAATGGTGATGGTAATACTGACAAAAATAACAACAAACAGTGATAATAATACTGATAATAATCCTAATGATGAGGATGATAATGATAATAACAATGATGATAATAGTAGTAATGATAATGATGATGATAATAAAAACGATAGTAATAACAAAGATGACAATAGTAGTAATGATGATAACAATAATACAATGACAATGATAACAACAGTGACAATAATAAAGATAACGATAGTAACAATGATAATTTTAATTACAATAATAATGATAAGTGATGGCAATAATGATAATGATAATAATGATGATAAAAATGATAGGTATGGCAACAGCAATAACAATAATACTAATGAGACTAATAATGTTAGTGATAATGATAATGACAAAAATAAAAATGATAATGACAAAAACAAAAATGATAATGATAATGATAAAACAATGGTAATAACAACAACAATAATAATGATAGTAATGATAATAATGATAATGATAATGATTATGGCAATAATTAATATAACTATCATGATTTTATGATGATAACGATATAAAAATGTTAATGATAATAATAATTGAAATGATAATGAAGATAATAACCCTAATAATGATAAGAATTATAATAATAACAACAATAACGATGATGATAATAACGATGGTAATCATGATAACAATAATAATGATAATGATTGTTATGATCATTATTATTATCATTATTGTTGTAATTATCATTATCATTATTATAACAATGATAATGATAATAATGATGATAATGATTTATAAACATATTAACAGTAATAGAATAATAATAATGATGATAATGATAATAATAATGATAATGATGATGATAATAATGATAATGATAACATTGATAATGACAATAATAGTGATAAGAATCTATAAAGATATGAACAATAATAGTAATAATGATAATAATGATAATAATAATAACAGTAACAATGATTATAATGATTGTGATAATCATAATGATGATGTTACCGATACTGATAATAATAATAGTAATGGTGATAACAAAGATGAAAATGATAGTAATAAGGGTAATAATTGTAACAATAATTATGATAATAATGGTGATGATAATGACAATAATAATATGGTAAAAACAATAATAATTATAGTGATAATGATAACGAAAATTATAATTAATGATAGCAACGGTGATAGTGACGATTTTAATTATGATAATACAGTGATAAAGAGCATAAGAAATAATTATTTAACGATTTTGATGCTCATGAATATCATTATTACTTTTATCATCAATACATTTCATATCTAACGATAGTGACTATAGTTATCATAATTACGACTATCATTATTACCATCATTATCATTATCATTGTTATTACAATGCTTTGGTAACAGCAATTTCGATGTAAGTAGAAGCAACATTATTTGTAATGATCGCAATAGTCCCATTATCATAGGAAATGAGAAAAGTGATAAGAGAGAAAATGGTGAACAGGAGAAGATATTAAAAAAGAGAAATAAAAACAAAAATAAGAGCATTTTTCAAAAAACGGGGAAGGAGACAAATGAAAGAAATACAACAAATGAGAAGAGAGAGGGAACGAGACCTAAAAATCCTTCTACCTGATCTTTCTTCAAAAGTGGCGCTCATTTTGTCCATCATTTTGTCCCATGACGTCACTCTCTCTTCCTGGCTCGCTGCTACAAGAGACTGAATGACTAATATCAAACAGCATTGGATACCCCATACTTCAACGAACTCCTCTATACGGCGAGTGGAGAAGAGCGTCGGATTTCGATAAGAGGATCGCGATCGTCACTTGTTCTCGCCAGTGTGACGTCAGTTTCCTCCGTCTATTGTAAGCGAATGAAAGAGGTTTTCTCCGAGTTCTGTCACAGCGGAGATGGACACTGAACCACTTTTGGACGATAGTCTAGATTCAGTTGAGGTAGAGTGTGTCTGACACGTTGCTTTCTAGTTCTTAGGTGATGTCTGATGTACCTTTTTATGCCTGTACAGTGTGTGAGGAAGGAATCAGGAAAGATCTCGAGGCCCGTGTGTTGCCCGTCTCAGATGAGTGAAGGTCAATATTTTCCCTTCTTTTTCCACAAATCCTAAGTCTTCTTAAGCTCGCGAAGTCCCAGGGAGCTACCTCGTACGCAAAGCCACCGAGTCCTTAAGCCGAGAGGATCCTCGAAGGAGCTAGAAAAGGAGAATCGAAGTGGAAATAAGAGCGGGACGACCCACAAGGAAGAATCCAGTGTGTCTGTCTGTCTCTCTCATTTCCTTTTTACTTGTATTCATTCCGTTATTATTTCTCTTATTCCCATTCCGTACGTAAGTCGTGTTTGTTTCGTTGCTTTGATCACTTCCGCCTTATGCTTTATTGACTTTTGTCTTAACTCGTGTTTCTTTTCTCACTTTTGGTAACTAGTACATGTGAGCTGCTATTTTTCTTCTTATTTTCTTTTCCTTCTCCGGATTCAGGTCCTTGGCCTCTTTCAGCTCCTAGGAAACAAATTTTTTGCCATTTCCAAAATAAATGGTTAGTGACATGTGTGTGATGAGGAAAGAAGTGTTTTTTGTGTCACAAGTGTTGGCCTATATTCAGCAAGGCGGTTTCTATAGGCCTATGCTCGGTATGCCCACGTTCATTAGACCTACACCGGGAACGTTCTACATTTAAGTCCATTTGAAGGGACCTTAGAGGACAAGGATACTCTGGTCTGGTGGTCCATATAGGCCTATGTTCTAAAAAGTGGTGAATATCAACTGCCAATGATGCGAGATTTGTATTAAAAGTGATTTTGGAATTGCCATGAATTGTGAAGCTATTGGGTTGCAAATCAGATTAAATTGATGGAAATGGTGAATTTAGGTCAGTGGCGTGCACTCCCTCAAATTGTTCAGAATTGTTGTTTTGTGCTTTGGCTAGTCAAAAGCAAATTCTTCTAACTCTTATTTATTATGCAATTATTCTTCAGGATCACAAGGAGGGCGTTGTGTAATTAAGGGGATTATTTCTTTCTCTCTAAATTGTGTGCTTGAAGATTACTTGGATTTTTGTAAGATTAAGTGCTGCTTGATTAGAAATATTTAGCTCATATGCTATATGTGTGAATTGTTAACGTTATCACCAAATCAAGTGATCATTTGGCCTTGATACCTTCAGTGTTCTGGGGAAGACGATCAAACCTCCATTTACATTCTGACAAGGAAAGCCTTATCTTGCCCTAAAATGCATGGCAGCCTGTTTTTATGGGGGAGGCTTTTTTTGGATTACTGAGGGCTTAGAGGCCAAAATGACCAGTTCAGTGACCTGCAGGTATGTTAGGCCCTTTCATTTTTTAATAGTACTATCATCCGTCACTTCAGCAGGTCAGTTTGTGCAGCAGGGATTGTCTTCTTAGTTCCATTGTGATTCTGTATTCTTCATTTTCGTCTATTTTCATGTAGTCTTGATGTTGATAATTACCATGAATACATATATTTATTTTGGAATGGAGTCAGTAATGTGTCAGAAATTTAGTAAACAGTGTAAATTTATCATTGAAACCAAGTTCAGTGTTAGTCTAATTAGCATACATCTCCCTTCTTTCTAACATGCTGCTTATGGCTTTGACTGTAGAAACAGCAGGTAATTTTTTCATAGTTAACTCTCACCTTGACTTGTTTAGTGAAGCTTGTTGTACTAAATGCTAACAAAACCGGAATGAAAGTGAACTTAGCTTTCTGTAAACCTAGACTTCACTCACACCTACCTAGATCTAGATACCTAGGCTGTACCTAAAACATAGGTATCATAAACCAAACTAAGCCTAGACCTAATTAAATCTAAGCCAAACTAAAATCAGACTGCAATAGCATTTAACCTAAACCCAACTTACTCTAAACTTACCTGTTTTGAATGGAAATGTGGGAACAAAAGTTGACCTAGGATTTTGCAGAGGGGTTCTCTTTGGGCCTTTATACGTATGGGAGGCCACAGAATTCATAGAAGTTGAATGGTATGCCTGCTCAAGGTGTTAAATGTGGTCGAGGGTTGAAGCAGTGTCTAGTGCGCTACCGGGATTTGGCAAAGGGGAGCTGGTTGATGACTCTGTGATACTAAGTGGCCATTATTGTAGGCAATAGCTTAAACATCTTACCCAAGCCAACCAAAACACTGTAAATGTTTTTTTTTTTTCAGAATGTGAAAAGTTTCTTTGGGATTATGTTACTCTCCAAATCCTCTTGATACTTTTTGTGATCTGCAGCAGATGGCTTTTTAGCTCACAGTAAAACTCATTGAAACTTAAAGTGATTTAAAGTCAGTTGCACACCAACATGGCAGTGTTGTCAGATAAAAGCAACTGAACCAAATCCTGTGTAGTCAAATTATGTGGTCTTGAGGTTTATTAGCCTTTGCTGAAGCACCAAAGAACCACAGGCTATAGACCGTTTGTAAATCACATCTGGTTTATCAATAACTTATCCTAGCCTTTCTTATCCATGCCTCATTGAGAGTTTCTTCACAGCATTCTCTTTATGTATTTTTTGACAGTCTTTCTTTTTTTAGGTATAGGACAGTGTCACATATACATATAAATATTTGGGACAAATTTGAAATGATGTTTTGTTTTAAAATAAATACACCCAGTATAGATGTGCTCGTGTTGATACTGTGGCCTTTGCATCTAAATTCTTTTAGAGGTCTGCAAATTGTATATATGTAGTTACAATAGTGGGGTTGAAAGGTAGGTCCCTTTTCTAATATCTTGACATAGATTTTATTGATATGCAAATTCAGTTCGCTAGGATATGGTCATTCAAGTATAGTTGTATGTTCTAATTTTCACAACCAAGTATCAATATATTGTAGATGTCCTCAGTTTAGATTGGATTGAAGTTAAACCATTATTTTCTCTCATTTGCATAAAACTAACATAAACATTAGATGTAATGGGCTAGTAAATAATTGTTATTATTGTAAGGAGATATTTTATATCTTGTATGCCTTCACATGTTCCATATTAATTTTTGTGTGCAAGTGTCAACAGCTAACATTCAATTTCACTTGTTTGCAAAATCTGAGGATAGTATAAGTAGTATGCACAGCAAGGTTTGGGTTTCATAGTTTTATAGTAAATATTGTGAAAAGGTTGGTATTGCAGATGCATTTAGGTCAGATTTACTGCAAGAACATTTCCAAAAGTTAATATTTATTGGTTCAGTACATATATAACATGTTTTGAGTTGGATGAAATTTACCCTCTGATTAGAATGTTGCAGCTAAACCAAACTGCATGAGTACTTCAACTAAATTGCGGTTTACTTTGCCAGGTCCTGGGAGGAAAAGTATGCCATGCTTTAGCATAAGATTGGCTAAATTAGTTTCCCACCTTAAATCTCAAAATCTCAAGGGATGGTTCTGCAATGCCTACCTAACAATAAAGATTTTCTCACCTTGTCATATAAAGCACTCAAAAAGAAATTATTAGACATATTGTGCATTTTATTTTCATGGGGTAAAGGAATATGTGGATATAGATATGTATATGTATATATACCAGCGAGAGAGAGAGAGAAAGAGAGAAAGAAAGGGAGGGGAGGGGAAGGGAGGGGACAAAGAACTTTGTTCAAATTGCAAGAAAAGAGTTGTGTGTACATCAAGCATTGCCTTTTTATATATACATTTGTAGAAGTCTAATTTTTTGTACTCCTTTTGAAAAGGAGGAATTGTATATGCTGTAGCTCAATACTCTCATGGGCATCAAGATTTAGAAATAAAACTAGACAAATGAGAATTGATACCAACATCTTAAACCATGTGTATACAGGTATAATGCTGAACTTGTATGAAAAATTAAAACAATCACACTTTATATGTATATATAAAATAATATAAAATGTCAGATTATTGATAATGGTTCACTTATATGACATGTGGAGGATTATCATCAGTCATTGGTTCAGGGATTTGGGTTGATAAAGATATTAGCAGATGAAATCAATCTTTGTAGCTTGGAGGTATGAAATGTGTTCATCCATTCTAATTGTAGGCCAGTCACTGATGTAAACAATGGCATTCTGGCATATATATAACACATGTTGCACCACTGTAGTGAAAAGGCATGGGGTGTAAAGTAAGTGATGTATTAACCACTTGCTGGCGGGAATGGCATGTGCCTACATACCATGCCCACTGTGTGTTTGTTTTAGTAATTTTTTTTTAGATATAGATGGCTCCAAAAGTACTAAGTTACCAATGAGCCAATTACAAGAACTACCTGTCTCACCTGTTTACCCTTTTCCTTGGTTAATAATATTTTCTTATATTTAATACTGCTGTTAGTAAGGTCAATAACAGAGTCGATATTGATAGCATTAGTAAAACAAAGCGTTTTCCCGCAATTTTAAGGAAAGATGAGGTCACAAGATCTACTTATTGACTCCTTTGTGGCTAAGCACTGGCAGAACCATCTATGTACAGAAACATTTATCAAAATACCTTAGTGAATGCAACATTTGCCTGTCGGCTTTGGGATAAGAACTGTTTATTTGAACTTGAGAGTTGTATCGGAAATATAATTAATCATGGATATCCAATGATAGATAAACCCACTTTTAGTTTTTGATTCCCCAGAAGTTTTTCATTAACTTTGCAATTGCTTCTGGGCAGCACCCATACCACGTGCTTATCATTGTACATTAAGGCAGGGAGATATGTGGTATCACCTTATGCTAACAAAATAGCTGCTAAGATTGGACATTATACTTCTTGAGTGAGGAACAAAGTTCTTTGCCTAAAGCTGTAGCTATTACAGTAAGTGTGTCATGTTGGGATAAAGATTAAATGCAGCGTTATGTAGATCATAATGGACGCCTTATGAAAATGTGTCAAGTATGCTTAACCCAATGCTGCCAGGGATGGTATGTATCTATATTATGCCACGTAAGTTCAGTTTA